AACATTTGTTTTTAAAACTTTAGGTTCCAAATTTTCTCCCTCCCTCCCCACCCACCCTCATTGAGAAGGCAGACAACTTGATACAGGTTATACATGTGTAGTCATGCAAAACACATCTATAGTAGTCAGTTTGGGGAAAACTAACTATATTTCCCTTCATCCTATCCTGCCCCCCATTTATTCCATTCTCTTTTTTGACCCTGTCCCTCCTCAGAAGTGTTTGCTTCTGATTACTTCCTATTCCAGTCTACCCTCCCCTTTATCATCCTCCCCTTATACCCTTCCGCCCTATTTTCCTGTAGGGTAAGATAGATTTCCATACCCGATTGAGTGTATGTGGTATTCCCTCCTTAAGCCAAATCCGATGAGAATAAGATTCCATAGTCATCATTTCTTATGGCACAATAATATTCCATTATGTTCATGCAATCATACACCACAATTTGTTCAGTCATTCCCCAATCAAAGGAAAGTCCACTTTCCTCCTAGGTCTCTGACACTACAAAAAGTACAAAAATGGAAATAATAACAGTATCTACCTCCCAGGGTTGTGAGGATCAAAGGAGATAATATTTATAAAGCATTTAGCCCAGTAACTGGAATATAATAGGCACTCAGTCAGTGCTAGTTTAGAGCTACCCCATGTGGGGTAATGTGCTTGTCTTTCCCCAGCTCTTCAAACAATTATCCTCTTTATCTTTTATCTTTGTCAATTTGATGGGTATGAGATAAAACTTCGTTTGCTTTAATTTGCATTTCTCTTTTAATTAGTGATTTAGAGCATTCTTCATATGGTTGTTGATAGCTTGCATTTCTTCTTTCAAAGCATATTCTGTCTATTTACCATTTAGCTTTTGGGAAAACACTGATGGTTTATGATCAAAGAAGTGACCCACTCAGATTTATGCCTTACTAATATTATCTTGTCAGCTCTGTGAAAGATGAATAGGAAATGGGACTAAAAGTGGGAAGATTAGGAGACTACTGTAGTAGTTCAGCTAAGAAGTTCAGATTAAGATCTGAACTAAGGTAGTGGCAAAATGAATAAAGTGGAGACTTATATGGGAGGTATGGTGGTATTAGAATCAATAAAACTTGACAGCTGATTAAAGGTTATACCTAAAGAAGCAAGAATCAAAGAACCTGGATAACTAGTAGGACAGTAGCACCATCAAAAGACATTGGGAAGTTTGGTGGGAGAGAGAATGATTTATGGAAGATAAGAAGTTCTGATTTGTAAATGCCGAATTTGAGCTGCTGGTAGAACTTCCAGATAAGGATGTGGGATCAAGAAATTGATTGGTACTCTAAAGTATAGATAGAAACCTGTTTTTAGGGAGTGAGAGACTGATGCTGAACTAGCAGCAGAGACTAAGGTTAGTCAGGTATGAGGAGAATCAGAAGAAAGCAGTGTCGCAGAAGCAAAGAGAGGAGGGATTATCCTGCAGGGTGGATCCTCCACAGTTTCAAAAACCACTAAGATTTCAAGGATGAAGACTCTGTGTATGTGTGTGTCTGTACATGCATGCATGCATATATACATATATACACAGAGAGAATTTATTAAACACTCATTATATCCTAGGTACTGTGATAAGCACTGGTGATAAAATTATAGGCAAGCAAGACAATCTTTACCCTCAAGGAGCTTACTTTCTGATGGGGAAGGACAACACATAAAGGGGAGTTGGAGGGAAAAGGTGAGGAAGAGAGTGGGGACAAGGCAGCTGTGAAGTGGTAGAGATGTCTGTAGAGCAAGTCCAACCAGGAGTAAAATGAGCATATCTAGAGCCCCTTCTAAAGTGGTAGTACAAGTCAAGGAGTCATCAGTGAGGGAAAAAAGCAGGGCCTCAGGGTGAAATTTCTCAGTGAAGAGGTAGAAATGAAGTATAGTGAATGAATAGAGTCAGGATATGTTTAGAAATTAAGACATTGCTAGTAGATCCGACCACTAGGCACATATCTCAAGGAAGTAGAAAGAACATCCCATACACACCAGAATATTTGTAGAGCACTTTTTGTAGTAACAGAAAATTGTAAGCAAAATAGATGCCCATCAATTGGAAAATAACTAAAGAAATTGTGGTATATGAATGGAATGAAAGTTATTTTGCTGCAAGAAATAATGAATATGGAGGATCCACAGGAAGACTTCTCTGAACTGAAGTCAGGAGTACCAGGAAAACAATATGCACAATACTATAACAGTATAAATGGAAAGAACAAAAAAAAATTCAAAACTGAACTCTATGACCAAGCGTGGCTTCAGTGAAGTGATATGAGAATGCACCTCCCTCCATTCTTCACAAAGATGGGAGGCTGTGAGTATGGAAAATTGCATATACCATTGGACTAGGGTGATTTTTTGGTTTTGCTGAATTGCTTTTCTTCCTTTTTTATTCTTTGATGTAAGAAAATTATTCTGTTGATGGGAGAAGGGATATATTGGAAAGCGAAGGTGATGCAGCAACCAAAGATAGTAATAACAATTTTTAAAAGACATTGGTGGTAACCTGTGAAAGGGCAGTTTTAACAGAGTGCAAGAATCAGAAACCTTAATAAAAGGGATACATCTGAGGTGAAAAATGAGGAAACTGAGGCAGAGATTATAAAGTGTTCTTTCTTCCTAAGAAGTAATCCCAAAGCGATGAAATGGAGACATTATGTAGAATGATAGTTTGAGACAATGGCAAGCTCAAGAGAAAGGGGTATGGGTGTGGGTATGCACACGCTTTAAGAGTGAGGAGTCCTGTGCAAATATTTAGGCCACTAGAAGAATCTAAAAGATAGGAAAAGATTGACAATAAGCCAAAGAATGATCAAGAGGGCACACTGCCAAATGTGATGGAAAGGAATAGAATTAAGGGTACAAATAGAACTATTAGCTTGAGAAAAGGGAGATTAATTTAATAGGGATAAATATAAAGTTACAAGGCTTGGGTTTAATCAAATTAATTGCACAAGTACAGAAAGCAGAAGGCTTGGCTAGACAACAGCTCACACGAAAGAGATACAGGATTTTTATAAATTGCAAGTTCAATTAGTCAACAATATGACATGACAAAGAAAGATGCTAACATGATCTTGGGCTGAATTAATGGAATACTGTCCAGAATGAGGAAAGTCATTAAATCAAAGATTTGCAGTTGGAAGGAGCCTTAGAGATCATCTGGTCCAGGGGGTCTTACCTCTTTTGTATCATGGAGCCTTTTGGCATTCTGGTAAAACCTATGAACCCCTCCTCTGAAGAATGTTTTTAAATACATAGGATTACAAAGGAAACTAATTATACTGAAATATATTTATTGAAATATTAGAAAACAGAAAACAAATTCATGGACCCCATGTTAAAAACTCCTGCTAGTCCAGCTCCCTTATTTTGAAAGACTGAGACCCTCCCCCACAGAAATGAAATGATTTGTCCAAGGTTACACAGGTACTTGATTACTGACCCAAGATTTGAACTCACACCCCTCAACTCAAAATCTAATATTGTGTCCACTGTACCATGGTGATATATAGGTGATATTCCTACTGGACCCTGCTTTGAACATATTATATGACCTGGAGTACTATATTCACTTCTTGACACTGTCTTTTAGGAGGGACAATGGCAACCTGGAGACCATGTTATATGATTATCTCTTGCAGGAGCTAGAGGTGTATATAGTCAAGAGAAGAAGGGACTTAGGAGAACATGAGAGCCACTATCAAGCATTTGACTTTTTTTGGTGGGTAGATACTGCAGAAAGACAGGTAGAATTAGAGCTATTTAAACATTTGACAGCTACTTAGTTTGCCCTGTCATTTGAGATCATCAAGAGGGGACTAGGTAACCACTTTTCATTGATGTTGTAAGGAAGAGTCCCTCTCCAAGTGCAGCTTGAACTAGATGATCAGTGTATGGTGCCCTTTGGATTCTGTTGTTGGGTAGTCTCTTTTAGATTCATTATTTATTACCCTAGAAAGCACCGAGGCCTGAGGAAATTAGATGAAAAGAGGATGATTTTGGTGAAACAGCAGAACATGGTGAAAGCCCTGGATTGGCAGGAAAGAGAACAATATGTTTGCCTACTAGTGAGAGCAGACTTGGGTAAGGCAGCATAAAGGGAGGCCAGTCTTTCCAACAAATATTTATAAAGTGTTCACTGTCCATTGAGCATTGTCCTAGTCTTTGGGGTTTTCCCAAAGCAGCTGAAGATGTTCAACAACGATACATTTATTGAGTACTCTCTGCCTTCAAAGAGTATAATATCCTATTTGAGGGATAAAAGAAATGCAGTTATAGAATGTATACAGTAGTATATGATTAAATACAAAAGCATTTTTGAAAAAAAAAAAAGACCCTGCCTGAGACAAAAATTAAAATATAGATGATTTTTGAGCTTCTTTTCCCTGTCTTCCAGGATACTTGGTATCCTTTTGCTGTTCTCTACTAGCTAAAAATCTCTACTCTCACCCTTGTTCTTATTCCCTTCCCTCATCCCTCCCTGCTCCAGATTCTCCCATGCTTCAAAATTAGTTATCTTTCCTGCTCCTAACACTACTTCCAGTTTCTTGTAATTGTGTCTAATGTGAACCAGGAGGAAATCATATTGTCCTAATTCACACTGAAGAATGAATGAGGAGAGCCCCTTAATTCTCCAAAGAGTATCATTATGATTAATAACTTGAGAAAATCTCTGATAAGTAGAGTTTCTTACAGTAAAGGAAAATGAAGGATTGAAGGCAAGCTTGGGGTTGGAGGTAGAGATTTGAGAGCCCATGTAGCACGTCACATAGATCTGATGGGTATAAATGCTGTTTAAAGTTCATAGAAAAAACAAACAAACCACTGATCTGGGTTAGTCTGAAAAGGCTTAATAAAGAATAGTAATAGCTGAATATAGCACTTTAAGGTTTGTTTTTCTCTTCTGAACAACTTAATTGCTGTTTCTGTTACCCATGTCAAATCTGTTGGGGTTTGGGGGGGTTTTTTTCCCCTTTCTTGATTATAATAGCCTTACATCACATCTGCCCAGAATTGGAGAAACCGTCCATGGACATAAGTTTTTTATTGGCTTTGGAGGAAAAGGTGCTAACCAGTGTGTGCAAGCAGCCCGGCTTGGAGCCAAGACTTCCATAGTATGCAAGGTAAGTATAAGAGAGAATAGAGCGATTTATATGGGCCAAGCATTCTGGTTCTCTTAACAGTCAACAACTTGCTAAAAATTCAGATAGGAGAAATAATTATCCTTCAGAGTCCTTAGTTGGTTTTATCATCATTGTTTCTATGGCAAATTATACAAGATATACTGCCTTACTAATTTCAGGACCAGGATTTCAAGTAAGTATGAGAAACGTTGATAGAGTTCCTGTGGATTTCCAATCCAGCCTCTAAATCACAATCAATCAGCAATTATTTATTAAGCACCTAGGATCACAGATTTAGAGCCAGAAGGCACCTGATAGTTATCTAATCCTTCACCTTCCCTTCATCTTAAGAATGAGGAAAATGAGCCTTAGAGAAATGAAGTGACTTACCTAATGTCACAGAGGTAGTAAGGGAGAGAAGGATGCCTGGTACCATCTAACACCCAATCCAGCTTTTTTTCCACTGTTCCACATGATTTCCTGATGTATGATAATCACTGTGTTAGGTGCTAAGACACCAAGATGAAAATCAAATAGTCCCTGCCCTTCAGAAGCTTGTGTGTTATGGGAGAAATAACATCTCCCTATATAAGTAGATAGAACATAGATACAAAGCAAATATTTGGTAATTATTTTTGGAGAGGAAGCACTAGAAACTTGGGGTATTTAAAAAGGCCTCTTGTAAGAAGGAGTCATTCCAGGCATGGGGGAAAGCCTGGGCAAGAGCATGGGACACAGGTAATATGTAATAAATCTGGAAAGGTAGGTTGGAGCTAGATTGTGATGAGCTTTTAAATGCCAAATAGAGGAGTTTCAGTTTGATCCAAGAGAGATTAGGTTGCCACTGGAGCCTCCTGAGCAGGGGAACGATATTGTCAGACCCAGAATATCCCTTCAGTAGCAGTATGAAGTATGGATTGGGGAAGAAAGAAATTGGCAAGAGAGGAACAACTTGGGAGGCTGTTATGTAGTCCACGTTGGAAGTGATGAGGTTCTGAAGTGGAATGGTGACCCTATGAATAAAGAGAAAAGGACGTATTCAAAAGTTATTGTGGAGGTATAATAATGATAATAGCCCTCATTTATATAGCACCTACAATGTGAGAGTTACTGTGCTAAACACTTTACAGATATCTCATTTGATCCTCACAACACCCCTGGGAGGCAGGTACTATTATTATCCCCACTTTACTGTGGAGGAAACTAAGGTAAACAGAGCTTAAGTAACTTGCCAAAGGTCACACAGCTAGTAAGTGTCTGAGACTGAATTTGAACTCATGTCTTCCAAACTCAAAGCCCAGCATTCTATCCACTGGGCCACCTAGCTTCCAGTAAACATGGCTATTGTTAAATTCCACCTTCTGTAGAAAGCCTTTCCCAATCTCTATTAATTCTGGTGCCCTCCCTCTGTGGATTATTTCCTATTTATCTTGTATGTATCTTTTTTGTATATAATTGTTGGTATATTGTCTCTCTTCATTAAATTGTGAACTTCTCAAGGGCAGAGATTATCTCTCTTTGTATTTCAAGTGTTTAGCAAAGTGCCTAGCACATAGTAAATAATAAATGTTCATTGACTGACTACTGCTCAGACTTGGGAGAGAATGAGGGAGAACAAAGAGTTAAGGATGATTGATATTGGGTTACAAGAAGACTGATATTGGGTCACAAGAAGACTGATCACGTCTTGCCAACTTCCAAACCTGGATCACTCCCACCATTCCTCTTTGTCACTCTTCTTCACATTCTACTTAATTGAAGTGAAGGAAGTCACAAAACCTTGCTGATTGAGTCCACTACAAATTTATGTTATTTGATTTTAACTAGGCCTTCAGGGAGCAAAGCAATCCTTCAACAACCTAATCAGTTCTCAGTCTCAATCTCCATCACAGCTGTCCAAACCTTCTCTGTTCTCAAGACTCATACAGTACCTGCCCTCTACATCCTGTAAACAGAAGACCTCACCTTCACACTTTACTGAAAAAAATTGAAACTGTTTGCCAAGAATTCCCTCTTCTCTACTCTCTTCATCTCACATTATTCTGAAAATATTCCCCACTATCTCCTTCTGCATTTTTGTGTGTGATGAAGAGGTGACCCTTCTCCTTGCCAAGTTCTTTGATTCCTTGATTCCCCCACCTCTTATCTTCTTTGGCAGATTGCCATCCTGTCATCCCCCCTCTCTTTAATCTTCAGTCTCTCTCTCTACTTGCTCCTTCCCCAGCAGCCTACAAATACACCCATGTCTTACCCATCCTTAAAAAACAATCACTTAATCCTTTTATCCCTGCTAAGTATTATGCTATATCTATTACTCCCCTTCTTAGCTAAACTCCTTATTGTTAAGTCCTTTCTCCCTTGTTCCTGACTCTTCATGACTGCGTTTGGGGTTTTCTTGGCAAAGATACTAGAATGATTTGCCACTTCCTTCTTCAGCTCATTTTACAGATGAGGAGACTGAGGCAAACAGGGTTAAGTGATTTGTCCAGGGTGACATACCTAGTAAGTGTCTGAGGCCAGACTTGAACTCATGATGATCTTCCTAACTTCAGGTTGGGCACTCTATGCACTGCACCACCTACCTGCCCTCTTATGAAAACCATCTAAAGTAGGTGTCTTTGCTTTCTCTCCTCTCCTAACTTTCTGTTCTGATCTCATCATCCACATGAAATTGCCCTGTTCAAAATTACCAGTGATTTCATAATTGCCAAATCTAATGGCCTTTTCTCAGTCTTTATTCTTCTGACCTTGCTCTATTGCATTTAACACTTCACTACCTTCTTTTCCTGTATTCTCTCTCCTTTCTAGGTTTTTGTGACACTGTTCTTTCTTGGTTCTCTGCCTATTTATCTGTTTGACTGTTCCTTAGTCTCCTTTGCTGGATTTTCATCCATGTCACACCCACTAACTCTAGATTCCTCAAGGTATGTTCTGGACCCTCTTCCATTTCTTTTCTCCGCTATATCACTTCATAGTTTCAACAGCTCTCATTGATTCAATTATGATCTATATGTGGATGACTCTCAGGTCTATATATCTAGTTCTACTCTTTCTTCTGAGTTATAGTTCCATATCAGGGGGTGATCGCCAGTCATCCTGATTTATATCTTACTGCTGGACCCAGATGGCTCCGGAGAGGAAAGTGAGGCTGGTAACTTTACACAGTCCTCTCTCACTTAAATCCAATTCACTTGCAAGTCATGGCATCACCTTCCTGATGCCATGTTCTTCTTCCAGAAGGAAGGACAAACAACAAGGACCACACCTTAAACCCTATTCACTCTGGCTGTCGTTGATTGGCCAACAATAGGTCCCAGCCCAAGCCCCACTTAGTGGTCATTGGTTGGGCCCTGATGGCTCAGAGTGAATGTAAATAGCAATTGTTTCTGTTTTGCCTAGAAACCCTGAGGGTCTTCCACTCTCAGACTGATTTCTTTTTTTTGGACTAGGTAAAGAGGCCATTCTTTGTCTCATTTCTTACCTAGCCTTAATTACTCACTGGGGTTGCCTTAGTCAAACTGAGACCTGGGAAAGACCTTACCTCAAAAAGGTCAAGGGCTCCCACTGCATCCAGGGCTGTCATCCTGATTTACATCTTGCCACTGAACCCAGATGGCCCGAGAGGAGAAAGTGAGGCTGGTGATTTTTGCATAGCTCTCCCCCACTTAAATCCAGTTTACTTGCGAGTCATGGCATCGCCTTCCAGATGTCACGGCCCTCTTCAAGAATGAAGGGCAAACAGCAACAGTTCTATGTCACCAGTTGCCTATTGGACATTTCATCATTATCTCAAACTCACTATGTCCAAGTCCGAACTCATTATATTTTCCCCACAAACCTTCTCTTCTTCCAGACTTCTCTATTTCTGTCAAGAACATCACCATCCATCCAATCACCTGAGGCTGCAATCTCAGTGTTACCCTTAACTTCTCACTTTCACACATCTCCCATATCCAGCTAATTGCCAAATCCTGTTCCACCTTCACAGTACCTCTGCTATATGTCCTCTTCTCTCCCCTCATGTTACTCTCTACTCTACCACCCTGGCTCAGGCCCAAGAGCTTTCTAATTGGTCTCCCTGCCCCAGATCTCTCCCTACTCCAATCCATCCTCCACTAAGTTGACAGAATGACTTTCAGTGGTTCTTTATTACTTCCAAGATCAAATTTAAAGTGCTTTGTTCAGCATTTAAAGCTCTTCATAACTTGGCCCCTTCTGGCATTTCACTCTTTCATACATTCTACAATCCAGCCATACTTAGACTAATGTCCAACCAACTTAATGGTCTTCATGCACAACACTCCATTTCTTGTCACTATGCTTCTCTACTGGTCTTTCCCTGTGCTAGCAGTACGCTACCCCTCAACTCTGCCTCTGAGTACACCCGCTTCTTCAAGGCTTGGTTCAAGTATCGCCTTCTACAAATGGCCTTTCCTGATCTCAGCTTCTAGAACTTTCTCCTGTACTGTTATCTTCTGTCTGCTCTGTATGCATATTGAATATGTTTGTATCCATGTAAGCTCCTTAGAGAAGAGAGACTATTTATGCTTTTCTTTGTATCTTCTGTGCTTAGCATAATGCCTAGCACAAGTTTAATCAATACATGTTCACTGATTCATTTGATTGGTATCTTATATAGACAAAGGGAAATTCCCAATCTTTTAGGGAAAAGATAATGAATTTTGGACATGTTGGGCTTAAGATGTCTGGAGTATCCAGTTAGAATTGTCAACAGTTACTTGATAGAAGAGTGGGGTTCAGTCAGGAGAGAGATTAAGGCTAGATATATAGATCTGGCATTCATCTTCATAGAGATAATAATTGAACAAAATGAATTGATTGTATTTGGATAAATTTAACTTGAGCGACAGAGCGTTCAGATATTTAGCCAAATAGCTGGTGTTTCACTCATCTTTAAATTATTTCCATCTGGTGTGATGAGTGGCAAACCTTTTTTTTTTTTTGCTGTGATAAACATTTTTTTACTATCCTGCAAACAA